TGGGCCAGCTGGCTCAGCCCTGGCCTCCCCCGAGCAGGTGCAGTCGGCCGCCTTGGATGAGATGTTCCACCGTCGGGAGGACTGCGTGCAGCGCTACCACAAGGCCCTGCTGCTCATGGAGGGGCTGCAGCACATCCTCAGTGACCAGGCGGATGTGGAGAACATCGCCAAGTGTGAGTGCTACTGGGCCGGCCGGGGGGAGGCTGCAGGGGAGAGGTGGGGAGCAGGGGCCCCCTAACCCAGCCGTCCCTCGTTGCAGGCAAGCTGTGCATCGAGCGGAGACTCTCGGCGTTGCTGAGCGGCCTCTGTGCCTGACCTGTGGGGTGCCTGGCTCATGGGGCCCCAGGGGCTGGATCTCCTCTGCCAGTCCTCCAGGCTGATGGGCGGCCAGCTGGCCGGGCTCAGTGGAATAAGCCCGGGCTCAGTGGTGCTGCCTGCTGCTGGCTGGGAGAGGCCGGGGGGCTCCCGAGCCAAACGGCTGAACTCTGTTGTGGGGGGCTTGGGGCGCCTGAATCCGGGCAATCCCCCCACCGCCTCACCGGCGGGCTGGGCTCCCGGCCACCTTGAAGGCAGGTGGGCACATGCAGCCGGTCCCCAACCCCAGCCAGACCCTGGGGCAGCCCTGATGCCAGCTGCCGTGCTGAGGACAGGCGGAGACAGTGAGATAGCTCTGTCCAGGAGAAGGTGCGGCCGCCTGGTCCCCCTCCTTTCCCGCGACCACCCACCCAGCTTTGTGAATCACGGAGCACTTTACGCAGGCGCAGGGCTGCCTGCTGCGCTAGGAGGCGTGTGTACATACTTATATACATATATACATATATAAATAGCCGTGCGAGCGTGTGTGCTGTCTGCCCGGACCTTCCCGGGGAGACACAGACGTCTTATTTAAATGTTCTTTTAGGGACGGATGGTATGAAGCACCAAAGCTCTCTGAACCCAGAACAGACGTTGCAGTCTACTACACTTTACTCCTGAAACGTGTCTTATTTTTCTGCAGCTCTTTTTTTTAACAAAAGAAGAAAATTTGTAGAAGTTTAGGGTTTGTTTTGGAAGCGGGAGGCAGGATGGGGGGGTCCTCAGTGTCACGTGGAGGCCGGTGGTGGCTGAGAGGGCAGCCCTATCCCTTCCCGCCCCCTGACCTGGAGGTGGTGGGCGGGCAAGGGGGATGGTGTGCAAGGCCTTCCATCAGCTTTCACAGAGGGTTTGATGCCAAAGTCGTATCCCACCCCTAGGCTGGGTCTTGGCTGCTCCGGGGGGCCGGCAGGGAGGCTCTGCCTCGCCCCCCTCATTGTGTCCTGGAGAGGGCAGACGAAGCCTGCCTGGGTCCAGGCGCCCCGGGCGAGGGGTTTAAGGTCTTACATCAAGACACGGACATCTTTGTGTTCCTTTCTCTGCAATACTTGAAATCTCGGAAGCAGCCCTGTGAGTCGTTCCCTCGCTGGCCTGTGGCTCTGTTCTTGCTGCCGGAACCCGTGCGTGTTTACTGTTTTACGGTCAGCTCGGACTCAGGCCACCAGGAGGCTGTGGCCACGGGAGGGAACGCAGGCAGCAGGCCGCCACGCCGCCCGCCTCCCTGCGTGTGTGCTGTCGGCCCATCCTGTTTCCACCACTCAGCACCCGACCCTTGGTCTACTTCAAAAGAGTTTCCTGTGATTCCCCCACTCCCTCCATTTGCATTACATTGTGTAATACTGATTGAAGGAAATAAACCTTTGGAACTGAGTGGGAGTGGCGTCTCTAGTGTGTCTCACGCTGTGGCCTGGGGGCCTGCAGCAGCACGAGGAGTCACCCTGTCCGTGACCCCCAGGGCGCAGACCCCTGGGCTACACTAGGTGCTCTGACGTGAGTTTAGGGCTACGTCGACCTCTACCACCAGGAACACAGTCCCTGGGGAGACACCTGGGAGGGGGGTGTGGGTTGAGAGGGGAACCAGCTCTGGACTGCGTGGCCACCATGCCACGTGGGCCCCGTCTCTGGGGCAGGAGGGCCTGCTTTCTCCGCATCCTCCCAGATGCCATCTGTCTGGATCCCGGCCGTGCTGCCGTTGGAGCGGTGTTTCCTTCACGCCTCGTGACCTCCAGCACCGTCTCGGGTGCTTGTTGGCCATTTCTAGGTAGGTTAGGTGCAGGATTTGCATTCTTAAGACTGTATACTGTTTCTGTGAGTTTTAAAAATAACTCATTACCAGAAAGGCTAACCACAGGATTACATCAAAGTGCACGGAGAGCGAGCCTTGGAGGCGGCAGAGCGTGGGGCCTGGGAAGGCGGGGCCCTGGGGCTTCGGGTCCAGCCTGCCTTCCTGGCGTGTGTGTGCGGTCTCTGCAGACAGGAAGGGGTGTGCAGGTGGGAAACGGGGCCGGGAGGCGGAGCCCCTTCTGCTCTGTGGGGCTCCTGATCTATCAGTAATTGGAAGAAATGCCCAAAGGATTAAGAGAATTGTGGCATTCTGTTGCTCAGTTAATAGGCTTCAGAGTTCCATTTCCTCCTCTCCCCTGCCCCCGTTTGCGCACACCGCGTGGTGGTGGGGGAGCCTACATGGATGCGCGACATCACCCTGGTCCGTGGTTGCTGCTGTCCGTTCTGTGGGCTGACACCTGTGCACGCGTGTCCCCCACACCGTCACATGGAACTTCACTGCCCACCATCCTCTCTTCTGCCAACCCCTGGCAAACACTGGCCTTTTTATTCCCTCTATAATCTCAACTTCTCTAGAATGTCCTAGATTTGGAATCCGTGTGCGGCCTTTTCAGACTGGCTGCTTTTCACATAAGACACATTTGAGGTTTCTGCGTCCGTAGCTCATTTCCTTCTAGCCATGAAGAATACTGTATAGTTTGGGTGGGTTACTTAATCCAGTCACCCAGCTGAAGGACACCTCAGTGCTTCCAAGTTTGGGCAGTTACGGCTAAACTACTAGAAAGCTCCCTGTGTAGGAACCTGGTGGTGAGGGCTGGGCGTGGGGTGTGGCAGCTCTGCAGGAGGGGCTGGCTCCCTCCTTTCTGTCCGAGGACCTCCCCGTTCCCCAGCTCATTCCAGGCATGTTTACCGTTGCCCAGGCACAAGGGCCCTTGGCCAGGAGGATCAGGCTCAGGCTGGCCACCGTCATTGGCGGGGTCTGAGGAGGGAGCAGGTGTGGTGGTCTGCTCCCCACATGACAGGTGACTGGGAGCCTCTCTCCCCTGACAGTGGGCAGTTCTGACCTGTCACAGTGCTTACCCTGCTGCCAGTTTCACTCCTACAAGGACCCTGGCATAGGTTCCTGCAGGGACACATGCCTCCATCCTTCCTACCTGATGTAACTTGGCTGGGGGCTTCCCGGTCAGGGGCTGCACATGGCATAGTCCGGGGGGTGTTGGGTCTGCCCCGCCACAGCTCTCCACATGGTCTGGGTCTCTGTTCCAGCACTAAGGAACCCTTGGCTCCCATGCGGTGGGGAGGGAGAGCCTCAGCGTCCAGACTTCCTGGCTCCCTGGCTGGGTAAATCCTCTGCCCATCTGGAGCCGTCCCAGTTGTCCAGGTCCTGGATTCCTGCGGATGCCTCCAGCCTGGGACCCCATGTCTATCTCACTATGCTGGGTGGGGCCTGTGGCTTCAGAGCTGCTAGGGCTGGGAGGGAGCATTCCTGGCAGAGGGAATCTTCCAGAAGAGGGTGGGGGATGCCCTGTGTGAAGGTCGGGTGCTCTGTGGAGCTGGCCCAATGCTTCCTAAAGCTGCTGAGCCACCAAAGCTCCCCAGGTCACCCAGCCCTGGCACAGAGACGCTGCGCTCCCCCCTCCCGCAGAGCGGAGAGCTGTCCTGGGGGTCCGTTAGCACGGGTGAGCATCCCCTCCCGCCAGCATGATCTTCTCAACCCATCCTCGCTTTTGAGCTTAGAGGAGCCTGGTTATGGTGTGGTCCATGGAGATTCTGTTTTTTTTTTTTTTTTTTTTAAGATTTTTATTTATTTATTTGACAGAGAGAGATCACAAATAGACGGAGAGGCAGGCAGAGAGAGAGAGAGGGAAGTAGGCTCCCTGCTGAGCAGAGAGCCCAATGTGGGACTCGATCCCAGGACCCTGAGATCATGACCTGAGACGAAGGCAGCGGCTTAACCCACTGAGCCACCCAGGCGCCCGGTCCATGGAGATTCTTGTCAGCAACCACCAACCCACTTTCTGGGTCCTGGCCTGCCCGTTGTGGACGCTGCGTATGAATGAGAACCTACACTACGTGGGCCTCTGATCTGGTCTCTTTAACTGCGGGCAGTTTCCAAGACTCACATCGTGGGCGCACCAGTGCTTCAGCTCCTTTTGCACAAAGCGTTTATGGCTTTGGGATACCCCGTTTTATTTTTCTGCTTGGGTCGGTCACTGGGCGTCCCCCCACGAGAATGTGAGCTCCCGAGCTGCTCTGGTCAATTTCCCGGCTCCGGAAGGAGACTGGTCCGTGCCCCCCCGGGCGCCTCCTGCCGCCTCCCAAGCCCTCCCTCAAGGTCTTCCCCAGGACCGCGGCCCCCAGGCGTGAGCCGTGAGCAGACGCTCGGCCACCGCGGATCCGGGAGACGCAGAGTCCGGGGAGGCGCTGGTGTGCTCGCCTCCCGGGCAGGGGCTCACGCCCGCCCCTGGGGTCCTCCTCAGGAACGCGGCGCCCGCGGCACTCGTCCTGCCCAGCACCTGTCCGCACCTGCTCGCTCCCGGGAGCCGCGCGCGCTCCGGCGGCGCGGCCCCGCCCCACCCCTCGCCCCGCCCCCCGCCCGGCTCAGTAGGCCTTTAGTCCGCGCCCGGCCGCCGTCGGGCGCGCGTTCCACTTCCGCCTTCGCCCACGTGGTCCGGCTCCGGCTCAGTCCGCGGCGCTGTGAGTGGGGTCGGGTGGGAGCGCGTCCGTCTAGTTCCGGGAGAGTGGCCGGAGGCTCCCGGACTCCCGAGGGGGAAGCCGGCCGGGCGGGGCGGGAGGGCCGGGAAAGGCCGGCGCCGCCGGGGAGGTCGGCCGCCGGCCGCGGGGGCGCCCCAGGGGAGGGGACCGGGCCCGTGCCACCCCCGCCCCCAACACCCCGCTCCCCGCCGCGCATGGCGGCGCCCAGTGTGCGGGCGGCGGCCGGGGCCCTGCGGAGAGCCTGCGGAGCGTGGAGCCCGCGCCTGGGACGGCGTCTGCTCTGGTAACCGCGGCGCGTCGCCCGGGCCCCCGCTGTCCAGGCCGCGCGCCCCGGCCGCACGCTCACTCGGGCCGTGTCTTTGCAGCTCGCCCCCCATGGCCGGGAACGTGCAGGCCCCCGCCCCCGTGGGCGCCGCGCGGGAGCAGGACCGGAAGGCCCGGAGCAGCTGGCAGGGCGGGGCGCGGGTCTGGGAGGACGCGGAGCAGCAGGCCAAGAAGCTCAGGAGCAGTCCGGACGGGGAGCTGCAGAGGAAGCTGCCCAAGCGGAAGATCGTGCTGCTCATGGCCTATTCCGGGAAGGGCTACCACGGCATGCAGGTGAGGGCGCCGCGCGGGGCTCCCTCCTCCGACCGGCCTCAGGCTGGGACCTCGCGGTGACAGTGGTCCAGGTTAGCGCAGGACACTTCAGCGTCGTGGTGAGTTCCCTGGGCGGGGTTTCCGCTGGAGCCCTGCTGTGGCCCCGGGAGGTGCCCCGCTGGGATTGTGGCCGAACTGCCTGTGGCTCCAGGCCCTGACGCAGGCTCTCCCTGCTCCTCTCTCCTGGAGGCCGAGGGGCTGGGAGGGGCAGCGCCGGTGTCTGTCAGGCGCTGGAGCTCAGAGGCTATGGGGAGGTAGAATTCTCAGAATTCCTGGAAGTCGGGGTGGGGTGCCACTCGTGTGCATGACGGCTCTCCTTGGTCCTGCAGCGTGGGTCCCGTGTTCCGTAGGCTTGCTGAAGCTTGACTCGGGCATGGAGTTGAGTGCCGTGCCCGGAGCATCCAACACAACCGTCCTGGGCGCTCCAGGTGTTGTAATAGTTCTCACTGCGAACAGTGGGAGACCTGGCGGTTCTTCGGGTCTTGTTTTAGGGAAGAGCGTGGGAGGCACCGGGGAAACTGACCTGGCGTGAGGTCAACTGTGCCATCGGTGACTGCCTCAGGAACGGAGGGACCAACCCTGCTGCTCTGTGTGGGCCGTGAAATGCTTTTGTGACTGTGATGTTGACTTGCAGTTTTGCCTTAGGCGCCGTCTTGAGAGCTTTGCTGAGGCTCACTGGCTTTTGCTTGCCTCAGTTTCCCCGTTAGGGAAATGTGGGGGGTTGGAGAGTGACAGTGGCTCGCTGTGCTGATGGAAGGACATTCTGAGAGCCTGGCACTTGGCCGCTGCATCTGCGTCCCCTGCGTGGATGTTTGAGCAGCATTTATGACTTGATCGTCTCAGGGAGGGCTGTAAGGTAGACCTTGGGAAGAACTTCCCCTGTGGTGATCGTGGCGGACTGCTCGTAGGCCCTCATGTGCCTGGAGTGCTGGAGGCTTTCTCTGAGGAGCATCCTCGTGGTCTTGTGACCTCATGGATGTGCAGGGGCCTGCAGGCACTGGGTTGTGGTTGGGGCACGCCGAGAGGGTAGCGTTAGGGGGTTCTAGAAGTAGTGGCTGTCCTCTTTCCCTGGCACACAGTAGTTCCAAGAAGTTGTACAGGCTGGTCACATGAGGTGAAGGGGTGCCGGGATGCCAAGGCTGGGTTTCTTGCTTTGAGTCAAGGGGTCTGCCTCCCCATGGTCATAAGGGGGGGGTGTCCCTCTGTGGCCTGCTGCTGCTGACCAATGGGTCTCGGGTAGGAGGGGCGCTGGTTTCAGATCCGACTAGGTGGGAGGCAGCGGTGTCTCAGGTGACACCCTCTGTGGACTGTTTGACCCGGCTGCCCAGGGTGGGAAGTTTCTAGAGACTGGGTATGCTCAGGTAACTCTCTCACTCGCTATGGAACAGGGAGGTGCCGTGGTGTGTCCCCAGGGCCACAGGTGTGGGCCCAGCACCCAGGCGCCCTACAGGGAGCAGCGTAGGCCCGGGGCTCCCATCTGTGGGCAGTGACTGAGTGAAGAAAACTGGTTTTCTCCTCTTTCCTTCAGAGGAACGTTGGGTCCTCACAGTTCAAGACCATCGAAGATGACTTGGTGTCTGCTCTGGTCCGGTCGGGTTGTATTCCTGAAAATCACGGTGAAGACATGAGGAAAATGTCCTTCCAGCGGTGTGCCCGGACAGATAAGGTAGGCACTCCCTGCCCCTCCCCTGCAGGTTTGAGCAGCAGCACCTGAGGCTGCCAGTCTGTGCGACACACACAGGTCAGTGGTCTGTTTGTCAAGACTGTTGTCTGTGAACGACATACGCATAGACCAAACTAGCCAACGTGGAAAGAAAGCCATCGCCTTGTGTCACTAAGAAGTTCTCTAAGCATTTCCAGGCTGTGTGTGGCAGGATCTGGAGGCTCAGTGCTGCCCAGACTTCGTGTCTGTGCGGTTCTCTGTGGCTCCCGCAGGTGGCCACATGGTCACAGTGTCCCCGCGACTCAGGCTTGATGGTGCACATAGGATCGAGTGTCTTGTTTTCCAAGAGGAGAAAGGAAACAGATGACCCTGGTGTGAGTAATCGGTTTTATTTAACTTAGTTTATCCGAGGTAGTCTTTTTTCCCTTTGTAATCAGCAGGAACACAATCGCAGATCACAGTTCCCGTTCTGTGCGGGTGCGAGTGCGTGCGTGTCGCGGCTTGGTAGCCCACTACGTACTCCATGCTCATGGTGCGTCACCGCTGCTCTGGCCGCGTCTCGGGGACTGGGGGCTTCAGTGGCTGTGGCCCTGTGCTGTCCATTCGGCTCTAAGATTGGGCCCCACCGCAGGGACTCACTGCCTCACACATCTGTCCCGGGCTCAGTCCTGGGTGGCGTGGCAGCCATGCCGAGTGGTCTCGTGTTCCTGGGTGTGGGTCTGGCATGGGCAGGAGGTCCCCAAGGGAGAGTGGAGGGGAGCCGGGCAGGCGGGTAAGGCAGAGGCACTAACCTCACGCTCCTCTCCAGTAGATAGAAAATGCAGAGTGCACCGCATGCCCTCTGTCCTGCTCTGCATCCCGGCCCTGAGCGGCTTCTATGGTTACCTGAGGTCCCTCGGGGGTGTGACCCAGATATGGGCAGGTCAGGGTCCTGAGCAGCTGAACCATGGCCACGTCTGCAGGTACGAGATCCTTTGGGTTCAGGTGCTGGGTGGAGACCGCAGAAGAGGCACGTTGTACAGATAGCGGAGGACAAACACGGGGCTGCCAGTTTGCATCTTGTAGGTGATGCAGTAACATTTCAGTAACCGTTTCTCACGGCTCAGGCTAGGGTCCTGTGGTTCCTTACAGTCTCCCTTTTCTCTTTAATTGTTCCAGTGACAGCTCTCAGGGAGTTTTCTATGCCAGAGAAAAGCAGATGTTTGCCTGAGCTAACGGTGGGGCTTAATCCGCTGTTGTTAGGATTGCGTTTTGATGCATTTTCCTCTCCCAGTCTGGGGAACTCGGAGAAACCTGAAACTTCCCATACCAGCGTCCTAGCCCGTCTCTCCATTTAATGCATCTGGCCCGATAGAGGAAGAAATGATAGCATTTTCTTAGGTTTTATTTTTTTTTTTTTAAAGATTTTATTTATTTATTTGACAGACGGAGATCACAAGTAGGCAGAAAGGCAGGTAGAGAGAGAGGAGGAAGCAGGCTCCCCGCTGAGCAGAGAGCCTGATGTGGGGCTCCATCCCAGCTCCTTGGGATCATGACCTGAGCCGAAAGCAGAGGCTTTAACCCACTGAGCCACTCAGGTGCCCCTTATTTCAGGTTTTTTTTTTTTTTTTTTTTTAAAGATTTTATTTATTTATTTGTCAGAGAGAGCGCGAGAGTGAGAGTGAGCACAGGCAGAGTGGCAGGCAGAGTCAGAGGGAGAAGCAGGCTCCCCGCTGAGCAAGGAGCCCGATGTGGGACTCGATCCCAGGACGCTGGGATCATGACCTGAGCCGAAGGCAGCTGCTTAACCAACTGAGCCACCCAGGCGTCCCGTTATTTCAGGTTTTTTAAGAAGTAGCTTTGTTGTGATACAGTCCACTCCTTACAGTTTGCCCACCCAGAGCATGCGGGTCAGTGGGTTCAGGCGTGTTCAGAGCTCTGCGACATGCCTGCGGCTGGTCTGCGGACCCTTCCAGCTCCCCAGGAAGGACCCCAGGTCCGTTAGCTGTCTCCTGTGCCAGCAGCACGTCCAGAATGTTCTCATTTACACACGTGATTGATAAACAGCCCTGCTATCTTCGTTCCTTTTTTTAATCTTTTTTAAGATTTTGTTTTTTTTAAGTAATCTCTACACCCAGCATGGGACTTGAACCCACGACCCCGAGATCAAGACTTGCACGCTTCACTGAGCCAGCCAGGCGCCCCTTCTCGTTCCTTTTTTCGATCTAAGTGTTTGAAATCCATTGTGTATTTTCAGCTCCTGGAATGGCTGGGATGCTCTGTATTGCAGGACGTGGATCTGGGGGCAGTGGATTTAGTCTGGGTAACATTGTCAGTGTTCATTTTTTGTTTCTTTTCTTAAATTTCCAGTTGTTTTTTAGAAAGGGAGAAGGGGAAGTGGGAGAGGGGGAAGCAGACTCCCTGCTGGGCGTGGAGCCCGGTGCGGGGCTCAATCCCAGGACCCCGGGATCATGACCTGAGCCGAAGCCAGATGCTTCACTGGCTGAGCCCCCCAGGTGCCACCTGTCTCTCCCAGTTCTTATCGGGCAGAATGTCAGCCCTGCAGGCGTGTGGGGGTGCCGCGGTGGACGCGGGACCAGCCCTCTCCTCCGTTCTGCCGTGATACCATTTTGCCATGTTTCTCTTTCCGTCTTTTCTTCCCCTGAAACTGTTTTGACAGTTTGAGAGTCTGTCATGGACCTCATTACTTCCCAAAAGCCGCAGGCCTGAACATGCAGGGACAGTGGCGCCCCGGGGGGGGGGTCTCCCCTTGGGCAGTCCAGCACTGATGGAACACCACTGCTCGCGCATGCCGGCTCGTTACTGACCCGGCCCCTTAGCCGCAGTCCATGTGTGCACACGCGCTCCCGTCCTTTGAGTTCCCTTTAATCTATCCCATCTTTTCTTTTTTGGTCTTTTGTGACATGTTTTTGGGCGCTAGAGGCCAGTTGTTTTAACAAATGTCCTCGGGATTTGTCCAGTTGTTTTCTTGACTCAGTCTGAGTTTCGGGCAGGGATGTCCCGTGTGTTGTAGTCTGACCTCTTGGCATGGGTTTGTGGGGTGTCTTCAGATGATGGTCATGCGGCGCCGTGACACGGGTGGTGCTGAGCTGCACGCCTGCCCGTCTGCACCCAGGACGGCACCCTGTCCCCCACCCGCCCCCCAGCAGCCCTCCTGTCTCCTTCCCTGCCCTTGCACTGTCCTGCCATGCTGACTGTCTGAAAAGCCAGCTTCTAGACGAAGGTTTGGCATCGGGTTGGGAAGCGTGCTCACCCTGATGGGCATTGCCTGTGTAACCAGCCCCCTTTCCCTGTCCACGTCGTGCCCCATCCCTGTTCACAGGATAATTGCTCTCCTGACTTAGATGGCACAGTGGTCCTCCCCCCAGTTTGCGGGGGATGCATTCCAGGCCCCCGGTGGGTGCCTGGCCTGTCGGTGGAGCTGAAGCCCCGTTATGTAGCGTGCTCATAGAGGTGGCCCAGGGACAGACGAGCAGCGGTCCCTCAGGGCAAGCCGGGGTGATTATAGCTGTGTGCTGGCCTGGAAGTCACACGAGGAAGGGCTCTTGGAAGGCCTCTGGGCCGTACCTGCTGTCCCTGTGATGACGGCAGACAAGATGAGCCTCCGCGATAAGATGGGGGGTGCAGAAGGCACGGGCTTGTGCTGGAGTCAGAGGCTCTTCCCAGTGGAGCGTCAGCAGCGCTGGTGACCGGGTGCCTGGAGCGGGGATGGTGGCGCCCTGGGCGGGGCTGGGCGAGCTCTTCCTTGCTCGGCCTCCCATTCTCCTGACGAAATCGCTTGCTCTTCTTCCCCCATGTCGTGCAGCGTTCGGTCCAAGGGGGCCTTTGTTTCCTGCCTGCATGACGTGTGTTTTGCTGGGCTCTGAAGCCATCGGTGATCCTCTCCCGGGTGTGCTCGCCTGGCTCCTTGGGGGGCCGAGCGCCGTCCTCAGGTCTCACCAGCCTCTCAGATGCGTTTCTAAAGCCAACCTTGTCCGGGACATGGCCTAGCGTTGGCGTGGTCCTTCTTCTAGGAACCACCTTATGGAGGGGTGTGCCTGACCCTTCTGCTTCCTTTGCAGGGCGTGTCGGCGGCCGGCCAGGTCGTGTCCCTGAAGGTGTGGCTGATAGACGACATTTTAGAAAAGATCAACAGCCACCTTCCGCCTCACATCCGGATCCTGGGTAAGTGCAGCAGGGCATGGCCCTGTGCCCCGCCTCGGTGGGTCTTGCTGGGACGTGAGGCCGCACCAGGTTTCTCTGGTGTGGAATTAGGACTCCGAGCAGTTGCTCAGCGGTTGGTAAGAGCGGTTGTGAGTCACTTCAGAGGTCGCTGTGCCCTCCTCCTGAAGGATGCGCCCTTCATGGCAGCGGCTGGTTTCAACCAAAGCCTGGACACAGGAGTCCGGATTTGGTTGAGTTAAAACGGGCGATGACTCTCCTTTATAACATGGCTGGTAAGCGGGGTTTTTAGGTGTTTGTTAAACCAGCCCCATTTTTTTTTTTTTTTAAGATTTTATTTATTTGTTAGAGAGAGAGCACGAGCACAGGCAGACAGAATGGCAGGCAGAGGGAGAAGCAGGCTCCCCACCAAGCAAGGAGCCCGATGCGGGACTCGATCCCAGGACGCTGGGATCATGACCTGAGCTGAAGTCAGCTGCTTAACCAACTGAGCCACCCAGGCGTCCCAAACCAGCCCCATTTTTGACCCTGCTTTTGAGTGGCGCTTCCGGGCCGTTTACGTTTCCCGGCTTTGGGTTCGTCGCTGTGGACCTCCCTGTCTGTCGCTTTTCGTCTCTGGTGTTCTGTGCTCTCCTTTTGTTCTGCTTCCTCTTTTGGATTAATGAATGTTTTTCATAGTTCCATTTCATTATCACGTTGTTGCCTTCTTTGGTAACTTCTTAGGTAACTCACTGTGGTTTTTTAGCGATTGCTTTGGGGGCTAAAACAGGGGGTTGAAGACCCTCTGTAGCGGGCCAGGCCGTGTGGCTGCCATGCGTTCCTTGACTGTCACTGCCCCCGCTGCCCATGTCTTTGCAAACAGGCTGTTTGGTGGCCTTGGTGGCCGTCTCTGTTAGAGTGTTCTTCTCACCTTGCTTTTTGTAGCGTCTGAAGACGACAGCCGCGTCCCTGCATCCGTCCCCCAGCCTCTCAGCTGATGGGTATTGTACGACCCCGTGTGGTACCCACCCACGCTGCCTCGTTTTCCTTCTAAGCTGTGAATTGAAAAAAAAACTTTTCGAGCCATAAATGACGTTTAATGAAGCCTGTATTTAAGCGTACGGTTCTGACGTGCGCGCGTCTGTGCGCCCACACCTACGGAGCATCCCGGCTACTACCGTGAGCCCTCCGCCCCCACCCCTCCTCACCGGCCACCACTGACTCGGTTCCGCGCCGCGGGTTAGTGCTCTTGGCGTTTTAGGTGAACAGAGTCAGGCCCCGGGTGTGGCTCTTTTCACGGAGCCAGGTGCTGTGTGGACCTGACACGCGGGCGTGCTGCACACGGTTTCTCCGTGGGCCGTCTGAGGGTGCTGGGCTTGCGCGCCGCCGTGGACACAGCTGCCGCGGGCATTGGGTGCAAGCGAACGGAGGCTTCGTGTGAGGTCAGTGATGCTTCCTGTGACTGTGTCCGCACCGGATGTCTGTGTTTGCTTTGTTGCAAAGTTTCTGTGCCCCTAGGGAAGGTCCCCCCCCCCCCCGGGACACTCCTCATCGCGTAAGCCCTCGTGAAGGCCAGTTGACACGCTTGCATGGGAAGGTCTTCCATGTGGTCCGTAGATCGGCCCCAGTTTTGCTAAAGCAGCGCCGAATCCTGCACAGTTACCGCAGTTGTCAGCACTCCTCTTGCAGTGTGACATGCAGGGTGGTTTTCCTCGGTGTGGCCCCGGAGCGTGGCCATCAGGCAGCCTGGGTGCTGATCCTGGCAGGCAATCGCCTGCACGACGCGTCCAGTGATGCTCGGTGCGGATGAAAGCGTTTAATGCCGGGCAAAGAAAAAAACCTGAAATTGCCCCCAAATGAGGCCTGATAGTAGAGCGAGAGTGAGGACGGTAGGAGCCCTGGGGCTGGGCCGGCTGGAGGTCCAGGCTCAGACCCACCCCTGTAGGCCCGCGGGGCCCTGGTGCAGCTCCGGCCGCACGCAGGGTCCTCGCCGGAACTTGTGTGTCCTTGGGGACATTCTGTACGCACACAGACGTGTCTGCTTCACACAAGTGCCCTGCGTGCTTTGTCCTGTCTTCATTCTTTCCCTTGCTGGTTAGCGTGTCTGTCGGGCAACTGCCGGGCTGTCAGCGCTCAGAGTGCCGGTCTCTGCAGGCCTGCTTCCTGGTGCTCGGGGGCTACCTGCTGCTTTGTTGTGTGAACATGCTAGAATGCGTGGGACCGCTTCTCTTGCCGGGCTTCTACGTTGTCTTGTGTTCTTTTGGTTGTTGCTGAGCTGGTTGTTGTTGCTGCCTGGTGGCCTCGTGGAGGACAGTTCGTAGAGTGTGGTTTCAGGTCCACAGCACACACCGTGGAGAGTTGCACAGGGCGAGAGCACGTGCTGCTCTGCCCCTCCGTGAACCTGGGTTTGAACATCAGCGTGTGGTTTTGATGAGTTGGTTTGTGTAGCTCTGCCGTGGAGCGTCTGGCGTGGGCGGGTTTGGGGCGCGGAGGCTGGGCCTGCGTCTGGTCCAGGCGCACGTTGGCCGGAAGCGTCGTCCTCACCTGCCTCCTCTCCCCTCAAGGACTGAAGAGGGTCACGGGCGGCTTCAACTCCAAGAACAAGTGTGACGCTAGGACCTACGTCTACATGTTGCCCACATTTGCCTTCGCCCACAAGGACCACGACGTGCAGGATGAGAGCTACCGGCTGAGCGCGGAGACGCTGCTGCGCGTGAACAGGCTCCTCGCCTGCTACAAGGGCACGCACAACTTTCACAACTTCACCTCGCAGAAGGGGCCCCGTGAGGCCAGCGCTCGGCGCTACGTCCTGGACATGTTCTGCGAGGAACCCTTCGTGCGGGACGGCATGGAGTTCGCGGTGATCAAGGTGAAGGGGCAGAGCTTCATGACGCACCAGATCAGGAAGATGGTCGGCCTGGTGGTGGCCATCGTCAAGGGCTACGCCCCCGAGAGCGTGCTGGAGCGCAGCTGGGGGGAGGCGAAGGTGGACGTGCCCAAGGCGCCAGGGCTCGGCCTGGTCCTGGAGCGCGTGCACTTCGAGAAGTACAACCAGCGCTTTGGCAATGACGGGCTCCACGAGCCGCTGGACTGGTCGCGGGAGGAGGCGGGGGTCACGGCGTTCAAGGAACAGCACATCTACCCCACCATCATCAGCACCGAGCGCCACGAGCGGTCCATGGCCCAGTGGCTGAGCACCCTGCCCGTGCACGACTTCAACGCCACCGCCCACGCCGCAGCCTGCCCAGATGCCAAGGTGGGGGCTGGGGCCATGGGGCTGGAGGCTGGGGCTCCGGGGAGGCCGCAGGCCCTCCCTTCCAGGCGCTCGGATGAGCATGTCACCTGCTGCACTCGGGCGTCCTCGCATCTGTTGTGTAGACGAGCAGGCTGAGGCGCAGGGAGGTGTGTCAGCCTTTAGGGGTCACACAGCTGGGGATGAGCAGGGGCAGGGCATGGGACCAAGTGGCTGGTGGCCCCACGGTGCTGCTTGTGGGCGCTCCCCGCTCTGTGCCTGGTGACCTTGGACAGAGGCTGGGCTGGGTGGTCTGCATTTCTGTTCGTGGGACGGCGCTGTGAGGACGAACACTGTGGGGTCCTCATGTGTCTGTTGTCACACCTGCTCTGGAACGTGGGCTCCCTTAAGAGAGGCATGCGGGATGCTTGGCGGCCACCCCAGGAGGCTGCTCTCTGACGCGCCCTCCTGCTCCGGGTGGGTCGTCCCTGCCAGTGGTAGTGTCAGGAGGAGGGCGTGTGTGCGAGGCGCTGGAGCTCAGTGTAGTCTGCGGCAGGAGGTCTTTTCCTAGGCCGGAAGACGTCCCTGAGCCTGGGTTCTCCGCTGGCCCAGCAGCTCTCCACAGGCGCAGTCCCACCTGGAGTGCTGGGACAGTGCTTCCCATCGTCTACATGCCAGAAACACGTGCTTCCTCCTGCACGCATGGGTTGTAAACTCACGCACGCAGGTGAGGCGAGCCAGCCAGGTGGTCCAGGTGTGGAAGAGCAGGTGTGCAGGCAGGATGACGGCGGGCAGCGGCATGGGCGGTGACTGGGACTGGACAGTGGAGATGGGAGTGCTCCTCTTCTGTCTCAGGGCCATGGTGGGGGTGGGGGTGGGGACAGCCACACTGGGAGAACTGGAGCTCTTCCAGGGGAGACGGGCCTGCCGGGAGCTTGCGTGAGCTCTTCTGCTCTGGGTGTTGGTGGGGACTAGTTCTCCCAGGCACTGAGGCAGGACGGCGTGTGTGTGCAGGTTTGAGCTGGGGGCCCGGCGTGCCTCTGCTGGACTCCGGCCAGGACAGGCTCTTGCTGCCTGCACTTGTCCAGTTTGGTGGAGCCTCATTTTCCGTCCTCTGGGGGGATCTGACGGAGCCCCGTGAAGACTCCCTTGTCTCCAGCTTTGACTTTCCCTGAGCAGGTCAGGGGTCCGAGCTGTTGGTGTGGAGACCAGGTGTTGGGCAGAGGCCGGGCGCTTGTGTGTGTCCCTGAGGCCAGGCCAGGCCAGGTGGACCTGGTGCTGAGCCCCCCGCGGATAGCCCTCCCCAGGGAGGAAGCACCCACACTTTTGTTCTTGTCCTGCAGGTCTCCAGCCCCCCAGGAGACAGTGATTGAGGTGGTGGCCGCCCTCTGGAGCTCGGGCTGACCCAGTGTGTGCCGGGAACCGCTGCTGCCACCGCTGCCGCTGCGGGCCGTCCTCACCGACACAGGAGAGCCGCACCGCGGCCCTGCAACCTCAGGGTCTTGAGACCTGCATCACGTTGGGCTTCATCCCAGGGACGACGTGCTGTGAGTCTGTTCTCAGCTCACGCGTTAACCGTATACACCTCAGCATGTAAAGACACTATTTTTTTAAAGAAGTAATTTTTCTTATTAAATAAGTACAAACTTTGCTTAAGTCACGCTGTTTTTTATTTTTCATTCGGTGTTTGGGAGGGAGTGCTGCGTGCTGTTAGGAACAAAGTGGCATCGGTGGGTGGAGGTTGGAGCAGGTGGGCACAAGAGGCTCTATGGGACCACCGTCAGGCCCTTAGGACCGGGCTTGGTGGCTTGCCGGCGTAGTAGAAGGCCGCACGAGCAGGGCAGGCCCTTCCCCGGTCACATCCACCGCAGCCCTGCCCACATCTCAGATGGGAAGAGTGGGACAGACGAGGGGACCGAATGTGCCCCTTGGTGAGGCACATTCTTTCCCAACAGAAGACCCACCAGTAGCTTCCTCCCCTCGTGGTCAAGGGCATGTCACGCCATCTAGTCCAGCTGCAAGGGATGCTGGGAGATTCCCTTTACCAAGTGGCAGGCGCTGCTGCACAGCCCAGGAGTGACCTGTCAGTGAGGAAAGGGGGGTCAGGTGACGGGCAGGCTGTGGGCAAGTCTGCGGAAGGCACCGGCAGTTTCCGGTGGGGGAGTGACGCACTGGAGTGTGTTGTGTGCGTGCGTGCTGGTGTCCGTGCATGGGTATGCAGGTACACACGTGATAATGCGTGCACGCACGAGACGTGTGGTGTCTGTCCCGTGGGTATTGCACGTGTGCTTGTGTGTCTTCGCGGGTGCCTCTGTGCACACGTGTGTGCATGCACGTGGGGGCACAACCCTGTGTGCACGGAGCTGGGCAGATCTTTTTGAGAGCTTCTGGGTGCACAGACAGGGTGGCGTGAGTATCATCAGGAAGACCGCTGGGGATGCTGGTGTGGCCAGGGTGTGGGTGTGGAAAAAAGAAAAGCAGTTGGGCTTCCTGCTACCACGGGGACGGGGGTGAGCACAGGAGAGAGGACCGAAGGCTGAGCTGGGCTTCAGGCTTGAGGGACTGATGAGTTGGGGCCATTCGCAGATGGTGCCATTGGGGAAGGGCGGTTTGGAGGAGTTACGGAGGAGGTGGGCATTAGGTGTGGTAATGGGCCTCGTGATAACAAAGGCTCTTTGCGAAGACATTTCCGAGTGTAGAAATGAGCCTAATAACTGCTGGACGACAGCTTCACCATGAAAGGCTACAAAGTCTCGATCTCTAGAGTAGATAACTCCCAACTGTGACTCCAGGTAGCGAACGGACGGACGACCTGTGTTAGTCACCTCGGAGGATCCCTGGGTGTGCGGCGTTTTAAAGTAACGAACGTGCTTGAAGTACAGAAGAGAGCAGCTCTCATCCCGCGTTCCAGGGCTGCTCCCAGAGAGCTCTGTGCATGCACGAGCCCATCTGATTGCCCTCTTCACACAGATGGCGACTCACAGTACACTTGACTCTTGCCTGTCTCAACGTAGCATGGCTTTGCGGTCACGAAAGGCTGCACTGTTCTTGCTGGTGGCTCACCATGTCCACGCTGCCCAGCCTGCTGCCAGGCGTTTGTCCAGACCGTCCCTATACGTCCTTGTTCACAAGTGTGAGTAGCTGTGGATGCAGAATCAGTGGTCTGATGGGTTTCACTCGACTTTAACGGCTCCGTCCCTCCACAGAGCTCTGCAGATATCACATGATGGTAGCTGTTCCCCACTCTCCCCAGAAACTTAGGGGAGCAAGTCTGACCTTGGGGCCCGCCTTTTCCTAGGTTGCATGATCTTCCCTGAGTATGGAAGGCACAGAAAGTTAGGGCCAGGATTTGTGTAGTCAGGGCGTCAGATGCTAGAATGCAGTGTTATCCCGAGGACCAGGAGAGCAAGAACCCGCACCTCCTTTCCCTCCCTGCCTGCTGGGTCCCCACATTGGCCGGCATGTAAGATGGGCATGCGAGTCAGCACCTGGGAGCCGTGGGAAATCGAGTGACCTGCTCTCACCTGTGTGTGTTGGGAGCGTGCAGGTCTCTGAGAGGAAGACGTCACTGGCTCTGTGCGTGGTTGGGAGATGTTTTCTTCAGGAAATTTGGGGCCTACAGATGGCTGGGGGTGGGTGGCTCAAGGACTTGGTTTGGGACTGGACCCCAGATCCCCCGGAATGATTCCTGGGACAAAACATAACTGGCCCACTGAGGCACCTGCCTCTGGAGCTGGGGGGGACCAGAGGAGCCAGAGCCCCCACCCACGGCCACACACCTGGAGCTGCTGACAAGCTGCCCAGAGCTATGGCCGCAGGGGAAGTGTTCTTGTCAAGAAGCCACCACTGGGGACGCCTGGGTGGCTCAGTTGGTTAAGCAGCTGCCTTCGGCTCAGGTCATGATCCCAGCGTCCTGGGATCGAGTCCCACATCGGGCTCCTTGCTCCTCAGGGAGCCTGCTTCTCCCTCTGCCTCTGCCTGCCATTCTGTCTGCCTGTGCTCGCTCTCTCTCTCTGACAAATAAATAAATAAAATCTTTAAAAAAAAAAAAAAAAAAAAAAAAAAAAGAAGCCACCACTGTCCACAGCTCCACGCTGATGGCACCCAGCACTGGGCCACCCTTGCAGGAGGAACATGGGTCAGACCTGCTTTCGGGCAGCAGGTGCAGCCAGGAGAAGCAGGGAGTCTGGGACCACCTCCTTCCACCTCCAGTCTTGCACAAATGCGGCAAACAGAAGGGCCTCACTCAGCCAGGACTCTGGCAGACCGAGTTTTTAACTTCCCGGCTTCAAGTAGGAGGGTGGCATGAGGGTTCAAAGAGCCAGTCCCCACCCAGGCAATTCAACAGGACAGAGAATGTTCTTTGACCATGGTTCTGGAACGACTGGTTAAGTGCAACTCCCTTCATAGCCAGGGTTTGTCTTTCTAAAATTTTCAGTTTAACACCAGAGGGCATTTGTACCTGCACTTTGCTGAGGAGTTTTTATCCCATTTGTCTTCTAATTCTTTTCTCAATTTTTAACGATTTTATTTTTATTTATTTTTTTAAAAGATTTTATTTATTTATTTGAGAGAGACAGTGAGAAAGAACATTAGAGGGCAGAAGGTCAGAGGGAGAAGCAGACTCCCCATGCAGCCGGGAGCCTGATGTGGGACTCCATCCCAGGATCCCGGGATCATGACCTGAGCTGCAGGCAGTTGCCTAAGCAACTGAGCCACCCAGGCGCCCAAGATTTTGTTTTTATTTATTTATTTAAAAGATTTTTTTTTTTAAATTTTATTTATTTGACAGATAGAGATCACAAGTAGGCAGAGAGGCAGGCAGAGAGAGAGGAGGAAGCAGTCTCCCCCACCCCGTCCTCCTTTCCAGCAGAGAACCCGATGCAGGGCTCGACCCCAGGACCCTGAGATCAGGACCTGAGCCGAAGGCAGAGGCTTAACCCACTGAGCCACCCAGGCGCCCCTTATTTTTATTTTTAAAGTAACCTTCACACCCAGGGTGGGCCTTGAACCCACAACCCTGAGATCAAGAATCGCACACTCCACTGGACAAGGCCAGCCAGGTGTCCCTAGCCTTCATTTTTTAAAATGACTTTTTAAATTGAGATGTAATTCACATACCATAAACGCATCCTTTCAAAGTGCACAATTCAGTGTTTTTTGGTACATTCACGAACTTGTGCAACCATCGGCGCTACCTAATTTCACAACATTTTCATTAACCGCCCAAGGAAATCCCGGGTCCAGCCGCAGGCAGTCTCCCCCGCCACCACCCCGGCCAGGGCTAGCTACTGTCCACCGCCCGGACCCGCGCATTCTGCACCCTTCATGGAAATGGACCTCTGCAGCGCGCGGCCTGCTGTCTGGCTTCCCCACCGGGCCGGTGCTTCCAGGGTTCATCTCTGTCGTAGCAGGTGTCCCCTGGGTTCGCCCCATTTCCCGGCCATCAGCCGATGGGGCTGCGTCCGCGGACAGCGGGTGCGAGCGAGCGGCGTCTGGGTGCGCCCAACGCACTTCGCCCCCCGAAAGCCCCTCCGCACCGGGGCGCCCGGCCGCGGGGTGCACAACAGGCGGAGGAAGCCGAAGAGCTCCCGGGAGCGGAGCCCGAGGCCCCTCATCTGCTCTGCGGCCCACCCCGGCCCCTGGGTCTTCACCGGTTCGGGGGGCGTCTTCTCTCGGCCGTGTTCGCGGCGCCAGCCCTCTCCAATCTGACGCCGTCCGCGGGTCCCCGCCCGCCCAGCAGACCCCCGCGGCCCCAGCCTCTCCCCACGCACTACCCGGCGGGGCCGGTCCGCCGTCGGCCCGTCGGCCCGCCCGTCGCCCGGCCGCTCTAGCCCGCTGCGCGTCTCGACGTCTCCCGCCGCGGGACGTCACTTCCGGCTCACCGTAGCGGGCGCGCCGCCGCTTCCTCCGCTCGCGGCCCCGGATGCGCCGAGCGGAGCGGCGCCGCCTCGACCCCCGCCCCCAGCCCTCGGCCGGACGCGGCAGGAGTGCTGTCCGGGCCCGGGTACGTGGGGCACGGCGTGGCCGGGAACGGCGGGGGTCAGGGCCCGGAGTCGTGTGGCTCGCGCCCCCAGCCTTTCTGGAGCCCTTCCCCCCATCCCCGGGCTGTGTAGTTGGGGGCCCGCCGGAGTGGGCGGGCGCTGCTGGGAGTTGGGGGGTGGAGGGACCGGGGGTGGAGGTGGCACTGGTTTGGCGCGGAGACGCGGCCCGAGGAGACGGGAGCGCCGGGAGTGAGCGTCGGCCGGGGGTGGGTGGGGGGCGCTGGCGCGGCGCGGAGACGCGGCCCGCGGTGACAGAGCCCCGGCGCGGTGAGGGGCTGCCCTGCGGAAGCGCTGCCCACCGGAACGGGGCGCCGGCGCGGAGACGCTGCCCGCGGTGATGGGGCGCCGGGGGTGGGTGGGGCGCTCTGGCGGTGCGGAGGCCCGCCGGGACGCGGGTGCCGCGCGGGGGCGGCTCTCCCACCCCCACTGCATGCTCGGCTCTTTGGTTTGGTTTGGGTCTCGGGTCTGCGTGGCCGGCGCCTTCAGCAGCACAGGCATCCCCACTGCACTGGTCCTCCGTTGCACGGCGTGTCGCCCTCACGGGTGGGGGGACAGGTGCAGAGGAGAGCGACTTCTCCAGGCCGTTCAGTGGGGGGACAGCGGGCCGAATTCAGGCCCCGCTCACTGCGACGCTGCTGTCGGCTGCGCGGCGGTGTAGTCAGATGTCCTCCTGCGGAGCCCCCTGGCGCCCCAAAGAAGGGTCCGCCCCTTACCGCCAGGCCATTCCGCCCGCGGCTGCCTCTGCCCTCAGCGCTGTGGCGCGGAGATTCGTGGCCCTCAGGGCTCTGCTCGGTGTCACCTTATCAGTGCAGAAGGTAGCGCTGCCCGATGCCAGCAGTGCTGCCCCTGCCGTTGTCCATGTTGGAGTCTTTGTGTACTTTGCGATGGGTTGTCTAAGCGGTGTTTGCGGGTAAAATGGTTTTGGTAACTTTTTTTTCGTGGAACCAGTAAAACAAGTAGGGTACCTGAATGGTTTCAAGAAATGGAAAGTGTATTTTGAAAACTATCATCCTACCACCCAAAGATAGGCACAATTGATGTTTTTATGGCCCGTCATTTGAGCCATGTAATTTTTCCTTTATAATTGAGATTGTATGACGTGATTTTATGTGCCTTTAAAAATAGCGCGGCCGCATTAAGCCCTGTCTGTCCACAGACCAGCATTAGCTCTTGCATTGCATCCAGCATTTCTTGCCGTGTGCGCTGTGGCTCTGACGTTCTGGTCTCGTCTTCAGTTTATCTTCTCTTCAGGGTGGTCTTGTCGACATTCAGATCCTCCATCAAACTCTCTGCAGGTCTTAGCTTCCTTTTACACCACGGTTAGAAAAAAGATCATGTGCCCCCGTCACCATTTCCTCTTCCCATTTCTCTTGAACCGGCTTCACTTAAGCTTTTGGTCTTTCCGTCCCGCCTCTTCTCCAGCACCACTCCTCTTGGGGTCGCCGGTGCTGTTACATTGCCAAGCCCTCCTGTAGGCAGCCTTTCACCAGGCCGCCCATGGCTTCCTTGGAACACTGTCTGCTCGTGGCGTGGGGACGCCACTCTGTTGGTTCTCCTCTTACCTTGCTGGTTCCTTCTCATCTCCTTCCCCTGTAAATCTTCTAATGCCTCAGGGCAGTCCCAGACCTCCTCTCTGGTGTGTGCACCTGGGTGATCTCACCCTGTGTCAGGACTGTAGGTCACATGTCGTCAGGTCCTGAATGTGTATCTCCTGGCTGGGTCTTCCTGCTCCAGGTTCCACACCTGCTTGCACTTGTGTGAGACCTGCCGCTTCCCTGCCGTTGCATTTCTCTTGGAGGCAGCCCCACGTCCGTAGTTCTCAGGTCAGAACTCTCCTGTAATCTCTGCTTCTCTTCCACATCCTAAATCTGATCTGTCAACACTTTTACAATCGAATCCAAGCCTGGCTGCCCCTCACTGTCTTCCTGGCTACCGCCGTTCTTTAGTCCCCTCGCCCCCCATCTCTTACCTGGGTTATTCTGGTGCCTCCTCCCTGCTCTGCCTGCTCCCCTGAGCCGCTCTGCTCTCGATTCTCAACACAGCAGCCGAATGATGTTTTTAAGACAGAAATCAGATTGTGCATGTCTTTTTTTTTTTTTTAAGATTATTTATTTATTTATTTGACAGACAGAGATCACAAGTAGGCAGAGAGGCAGGCAGGGGGAGGGAGAGAGAGAGAGAGAGGGAGAGAGACACGAGGAAGCAGGCTCCTTGCAGAAAGCCTGACATGGGGCTCGATCCCAGGACCCTGAGATCATGATCTGAGCGGAAGACAGAGGCTTTAACCCACTGAGCCACCCAGGTGCCCCCCCCCCTTTTTAAGTAAAGTTTTTTTTTTTTTTTACGATTTTATTTATTTATTTGATAGATCACAGGTAGGCAGAGAGGCAGGCAGAGAGAGGAGGAAGCAGGCTCCCCGCTGAGCAGAGAGCCGGATGCGGGGCTCCATCCCAGGACCCCGGGATCATGACCTGAGCCGAGGGCAGAGGCTTTAACCCACTGAGCCACCCAGGCGCCCCTCTGCCAGTCCTTCTTGTGTGCCACCTCCTACTTTGTGTGTTGTCTGACTGCCCCCCTTCTGGCGGCAGGGACTATGCCGCGTTCACTCTCTGATCCCCGGTGCTTCAGAATAATGCCTGATGCATTCAGCCTTCAGGAAATACTTACTGAGTAAATACAGTCACAGTCAAATTCTTCTCTAGAGCAGGTGGATCTGGTGGGAACCTCGGTGTACGGGGTAGCAAACGATTTTGGGGGATGCTGAGGAATGGAATTCACGTGCTTAGAAGAGGGAAGCCGGCTCTTCCAAGAGGGACAGATGCATGTTGGGGGTGAGGTTGATGGGGGTAGAGATGGAAGGGAGGTAGCTTGGAGGTGGGAGAGCGTGAGGCCATTCAAGGAAGGGGTCAGTCACCTGACCCCGCATTCAGTAGGAGGTTGGGCGTGGCATCTCCACAGGGACCATCTGTGGGGCCTGCCCTGAGGGCTGGCAGTGAATTCTCTGTCCCCCCCCAGCCCCCATTTTATGTCTCAGTGCTCCTCCTGCGGAGGACGGAAGCTATCTTTTCTGTTAGGGGTTTGTGGCTGCCCAGCTTGGGCTCGGGGTCCAGCCCTGGAATCAGGTCTTGCCGTCCCTGAGGTTCTCCAGTCCCAGTGTGGAGGTGTTCTGCTTGGCTGGTCTGCTCCTTTCCTTGGAGCCTAGGACAGGCTGATGGTGGAGCCTCTTTACAGGTGAAAGACCAGCGTCTTCCTCAGGGAGCCTGGCTCTGCTCCTCCGCCACTTGGAGGGGAACCGTGTGCCCATTGCCTTCAGGAATCAGGCCTGGCCCTCAGTGTTTTCTTCTGGGCAGGGCCTCTGTCCTTTGGGCCTATATTCTCAGCCCCCCCGCACCCCCCCATTCCTGCTGTATTTCTAGTCATTGGGAATTGTTACTTTGTTTTGGTGTATTATTATAGAAATAAAAATGTACTGAGTGAAGGGAAGGACTTTGCATAACCTCATGTTCCTATTTTACTTAGAGCTTTTTTTTTTTTTTTAAGTTTTCTGTTTTTTAATTTTTTTTAAAAGATTTTATTTGTTTGTCAGAGAGAGAGCACAAGCAGGCGGAGTGGCAGGCAGAGGGAGAAGCAGGCTCCCTGGGAGCCCGGTGTGGGACTCGATCCCAAGACCCTGGGATCATGACCTGAGCTGAAGGCAAACGCTTAACGACTGAGCCGCCCAGACGTGCCCCCCCCCTTTTTTTTTAACACTTTATACATCATAGTATTCCCTTTTGTTGAAGTAGAATTCTGAGAATTTTGATAGATGTGTAATTTCCAGGACAGTCAGGATTCAGGACAGTTTTGGGGGCACCCGGGTGGCTCAGTAGAGCGTCTGACTCTTGTTTTCAGATCAGGTCATGATCTTAGCATCATGAGATCGAGCCCTGTGTTGGGATCCGCACGCTGTATGGAATCTGCCTGAGATCCTGTCTCTCCCACTGCCCCTCTTCCTGCTGGTTCCCGCATACATGTGCTTTCTCTCTCTAAAGTAAATAAATAAATCTAAAAAAACTCAAAAAATAGTTTCATCACCCTAAGAATTCCCTAGCACTGCCGCTCTCCCGAGCTCTTCCTCCTCAGCAGCTGCTGATCTCTGTCGCTGTGTTTTCTGTCCTTTCTGGGATGTCATTTATTTTTTAAAGGTTTTATTTATTTACTTGACAGAGATCACAGGTAGGCAGAGAGGCAGGCAGAGAGAGAGAGAAGCAGGCTCACCCCAAGCAGAGAGCCTGATGCAGGGCTCGATCCCAGGACCCTGGGACCATGGCCCGAGCCGAAGGCAGAGGCTTTAACCCACTGAGCCACCCAGGCACCCCTCTGGGATCTCTCCAGGGTGAGCCTCTTGAGTCTGGCTTCTTTCCTTTTTTTTTTTTTTTTTTCCTTTAAAGATTTTGTTTATTTGGTAGAGACACAGTGAGAGAGGGACCACAAGCAAGGGCAGAGGGAGAGGGAGAAGCAGGCTTCCCGGTGAGCAGGGAGCCTGATGCGGGGCTCGATCCCAGGCCCCTGGGATCGTGACCTGAGCCGAAGGCAGATGCGTAACAACGGGGCCCCCCAGGCGCCCCGATCTGGCTTCTCTCATTGAGCATAGCGCATTTGAGGTTTACCAAGGTTACTGCTTGGACCAAGAGCTCGTGTCCTGCCACTGGGTGGGCTGGACGCGTGGGTGCGCCCCCCTTTGTCCAGTCCCCTGCTGTTGCTGTCCCGTGATGGGAGCGCTTCCTGTGCGGCTCCTGTCGTGTGCTGTTCAGACGATACACAAGGGTCGCAACACGAGGGCCGCGGGAAGACAAGTTCCTCCTTGCTTTCTCCCGGCTCCTGCCCTCCTCCCCAGGGCCTGCTGGTTTGGTTCCACTTCTCCAGGTCTCTGCGCGTTAGAACTGTGTTCTCCATGGCGGTGCTGTTTCTCACACGGGACTGGAAATTGGTTCTTGGGGGGAGGTTGAAAAAAATCTTAGCTATGACAGTGGTTTGTGGCCTCACAAAGAGTCACAGTCATCCACAGATCTACGCTAGGGCTGTGGCATTAAAATTTCACAGCGTGTCGGGAGGGATTAGGAGAGAAAGGTGGAAGCAGGCCCCTCGAGGGCTGTGGGTAAAATGTTGAGGAGCAGCAGCCAGTGGGACAGTCATTGGGGACTGCAGCTGTGTGGCTCGTGTCTGAGGAAGGACTTCCGTTTCTCTGGCCTCTTCCTCCCAAGCTGAGATCGATCCTGCCTCTGGGGAGCACGGGGCTCTCTGTCCCAGTGGGTTAAGGACTGCCCCCGCCGCCATGACTGTAAGCTCCTGGCATTGTGGCCTGTTAAGTTAGAAGGGGACACGGGGCCGTCCGTCCTCGTTTCCGCACCGTGGCATTGTGACATGGCATGTGGCACAGGGAAGTTTGCAGAGTTGTAAAACTCCGTGTGGCCCAGTTTATGTCACTTGGAATTGACATAGTTTAGGAGTGAGTGTGGAGCCTGCCTTGCTCATCTTGTCTGGGAGGAGTGCATGTTTTGTTAGCATGGGCTTCTCTTAGGGCCTTGACTTTTGGAGCACTGTCGGCATTGCCGTCCCACGAGGAAGTCTCTTTCCCGTGGTGTTTACTGTGGCCTTGTTTCCGTTCGTGGGCATTTTGGTGTGTCTGCTTTATCGCCCAGCCGTCTCTCTGTCTTTTAAGGTCTCGGGAAGCATTTCAAGATAAGTGAAAGCAATGTTCTTAACACATTCAAGCTTCACCCCCTCTTTTTTTCCTTCTCCCTCAGGCAGAGGCACTTCCGTGCTTTGGTGTTTGGCAGATTGCCTGGGGGGTGCAGGCCCTCCTAGAAAGCCTCGGGGCACAGGCTGACCAGGGCGGGGTGGGCAGAGAGCGGTCCCTGCCGAAGGGAAGGTCAGGAGGGCAGCAGTGCTTTCCCAGGAAAGGAGGGAGGTTTTGCGGGGGTCGGCTTGGGTGTTTGGGGGAAGGTCCTTGTGTAGCCGCCGCTGCCAGGGTGGGCCTCAGTGTGTATCCCAGCACTGGCTCTGCCCGAGCTGTTTCCTCCCAGAACCGAGACGTGGTGGCGGGCAGACCTCGCAGGCCTCAGACTCGACCTGGCCGACACTGAACGCGTTCTAGCGCATGCAGGACGCCTCAGCAGCGTCCCTCCCCCCGTCTGGGTTGTCCACCTGTGGCCATTTCCTGGGCCTGCCGGGCTGACCTGTTGGCTGGTTTTCCGGAGTGTGAGTTGGGTGTGTGGCAGCATGTCCTAGAGAGCCCGAGCTGAAGGGAGAAGCTTTGCTTTAGTCTTACTGCTTCGACTTTAGTCTCAACATTAACTTCAGGTTGAAGTTCAAAGAACGTTAAGTGACAGTATAACTGTCTTTTCAGAGATGGATCAGGTTAAAACAGCTGGGAGCCACTGTCCTCAAATCCCGTAGCCGCCTTTCCCTGTGTCCTCTGCTGAGGCGAGGCTGCCTGCTTTGCTGCTTGTCATCGTGCCTTGGCCCCGGTGCCCCTAGGGTCCTCCGTTCTGCTAGGATGTCACTGCTTGTAGGCCATTTCCGTAGGCAGGACGAGGAGATGTGTTTTTTTTTTTTTTCCCCCAGAGATTTTTTTTTTATTTGACAGAGAAATCACAAGTAAGCAAAAGTAGGCAGAGAGGCAGGCAGATAGAGAGGGAGAGCAGGCTCCCCGCTGAGCAGAGAGCTCGACATGGGGCTCCATCCCAGGACCCCGGGATCGTGACCCCAGCAGAAGGCAAAGGCTCAACCCACTGAGCCCCCCAGGCGCCCCGAGGAGATGTGTTTTAAGGGAAGGACCTGAAAGCTCACCCAGTGCTGGTTCTCCTCCAGCTGCGTGGAGTTGTGTCCCTTCCTGCCCTGTCTCCCGGGTGACTCTGTTGTCCTGCCTAGAGTTTGAGGGTTTGCTTCTGTGCACGTCGGTTTTAGGGAGTTCTTTGTCCTTATAGATGTAGTTGTTTTTCGAATATGTGACTCTTTAACACGGTTCTGAAGCTCAGTGTCAGTCTCTTCCCTGCCTGCTCACACCACCCTGAGGAGGTCATCAGTCTCATTCGCTTCTGACGCAGTCTTCACGAGTTCCTTTTCTGCAGAGTAAACAGATACTTGGGGGATGTCAGTGCTTGTAGACTGTTGCAGTGCGGATAACTAGGGAATACATTTTTGAGAAAAAGTTCTGTATGTGCAGATATGTGGGTATGTGCTTTCTTTTTGTAGGAAAAAATGCAGGCAAGACGTATCTATGTGTCTGTCTATCTTGTCCTCCTATGTAGGGGTGGTGTCCCCCATACAGTCTTCTGCGCTTTGTTTGACGTAATGTTGGAGTTCTGGAAGTCGCTCCGCACGGAGTTCGCAGAGAGCATTCTCACCCATTTCTGCAGCTGCGTGGTGCTCTGTCGAGGGCTGCACCAGGTGGAGTCGCCTGTCTCTGAAACGTGCCATGTAGTGTATTTCCAGCGCTGTGTTTGCAGAGAATGCGTAGTGACTGACTTGGTGTTTACGTGTTTCTTTCCTGGAGGGGGCTGTTGGGGGGAGCTTGGGGGGGCACTAGCGGGTCTAGTGTGTGGAGGAGCACACTTGTGAGGTGCTGCTGGAGCCCTGGCGGGGTGGGGGGGGGACAGCTCCCCCTGCAGAGCTGAGCGGCCCGTGTCCCCACCACCTCGCCAGCACTGTGTTGTTGGGCTGCTGAGTTGTTTGGTCTGGGACATGAGAAGTGGCATTTCAGATTAGTTTTAATCCAATTCTTTTATTAGGAGAGAGGATTTACAAGTTAACATGCTTGAAAAATTCAGCTTCAAGCCTTGGAGTCCGACTTTGTTTTACTGTTTTTTTGTAACAGGAAATGTCATTTCGTAAGGGCTGCGAGTGAGTGAGTCAAACATTAGCTCGTGGCTTGTGAGCAGCCTTGTAGAGATACTCCGTGTTTTGATGGATCACGAGGGCCAAGTCTAGGCTCTGACTTATGCATTTGGAGCCATGCACTGGTCTTTACTTTTATTTATTTTTTTTAAAGATTTTATTTATTAATTTGACGGAGCACAAGTAGGCAGAATGGCAGAGGGAGACGGAGAGACAGGCTCTCTGCTGAGTAGGGAGTCCGATATGGGGCTCAGTCCCAGGACCCCGAGATCATGACCTGAGCCAAAGGCAGGGGCTTCAGTGACTGAGCCAACGAGGCGCCCCGTCCTTATTTTTAGCAAGCTGGACGTTCTCTGACCCCTCCGTGTCTGCAGCTGGGTGTTTGCTCACAGCTCACAGCAGGCTCTTCGGCTCATGCTCTGGGTGCTGGACATAGGGGTGTCACGGATGGGCAGAAGTACTTCCCTGCAGTAACAGCAGTGCTCCCTGCATGACGAGCAGTGCTGTCTGCGTGATGAGCGGTGCCCGGGCCCTGGCTTTGGCCTAGGGGGTGCACCGTGACCATGGTGACAGTACTGCAGAACTGCCTGAAGCAGGGGGATTGCCTGGCTGCTCTGGGAAAACGTGGGGACAGAGAAGGAGGTGAGTTTGGGAAGGGAGCCAGGCTCATGGCCTGAGTTGCCTGCTTGTTCAAGGGGAGGTCCAGCCGCCCGGACTCTGGTGGCTCCCACACGGGAAGCTGGGAGTGGAGGGTGGGCAGCGGGAGCAGTTCCAGACTTCAGCAGGGGGCCCGGGAGCAGCTGCTCTAAGTACCCAGTCTCTCGGACTCTCTCATTGGTTCTGGCCTGGGGGCCCCTGCCCTACACTGACAGCAGGGCCCAGGTAGTGTTCCTTATAGTGGTGTTTTCCTGGTGTCTAGTTGTGCCTGTTTATGATGTTGTGGTCACCCTGACAGCAACAGCGGGCAGAGAGGGTGAGCCTGTGGCCAGCATCCTGCCAGCGGCCCTGGTGAGTGCTGCGTGCGGTGACTGAGGGGGTCGCGCCCTGCTTCTCGCCGGGCTGCGCACCTGCCTTGCCCTCGAGCTGCTGACTTCCGCCTCGTCCGAGCAGCACCCGTGCGGGGTGGCGAGCTGAATGTGGCTCCGGCTCCGCCTGATGGACATCCAAAGTAGAAACAGCTGCTACAAAACAGAAGTTGTTTTGCCATTGGTGGTAGCTTTGCTCTCCATTGGGGTAACTGGCACATTTTTGGGGAACGCTGCTTTAGATAAGTAGTGTCTTTATATCGTTGTCGAATGCGCTTGTTTTTCTAACTTGGCTGTAAGCTTAATGAGGTCAGGATCCATTTTCTTACAAGGTTGAGGTATAGTTTCTATGTAGCAAAGTTCACGCTTCAGTGTGTGGCTCCATGACGTTGGACAAACACTTGTAACCATCCGCACGAACCAGTTGGAGAAGTGGGTGCACACCCCCAGATTCCCTCCTGCTCCTCTCGAGTCCGCCCCTCGCCCACCTTCAGCCCTCGGGATCTCTCTGATCTCTGTCCCTGTCGCCTGTTGCAGAATATCATGTCATATCCGTGACCGGCGCTGCGTGACCCTTGGGTCTGTGTCTGCCCCTGGCGTCTCAAGACTCGTCGTGGTGCGGGTCTGTCATTTCGGTCCTTACATCGCCAAGGCTGCTCCAGTGTTGTGTCCTGTCGCCGGGTGAAGGTCAGTATTCATGTTTTCATGTTTCACTGGATAGCTCTTTAATGCACGTCGTTAACGCTGTCGGAGTTATGTCCCATAATTGGTATCCTGCTTTTTCCACTTAATTTGTCTGTACGTGTTTCATTTTTATTAGAGTCTCTGTCTAGAACCTGGACACTGGATGTTTCTGGTTACTTTTACTGTATTCTGCAATGCACGTTTTTATGCACAATTTAAAAAAATACGTGGGTGAATTTCCTCAGGAGAGATTTCCAGAGATAGTAGGACTAGGTCAAAGGTCATGGGTGAGATGGGTCACTTCTGCTTTTCCAGCCCTGTCGCCCGCCCCGCCAGGCATATTCCGGGCTCTGAGCCCTCGGAGCGCTGTGCTTATGTGTCCCCGTCTGCCTCCCACAACCCCTTAGCGGGGTTGGCAGGACGCCAGCTGCGTGATGCAGTGTCTTGGCAAAGCGGATCTGGGAGAGTCTCGCTTGTCTGTGTGGCTTTTATTAGCGGCAAGGTTGGACGCTTTCCTTCATGCCAGTTAAGTAGATGCTTTCTTTTTGGGAAACTGTCTCTCACTTCACTTTTCTGTGGGACTGCAGTGATGTTCCGCCTGCATGCGTGCTCTCTCCAGTACCCGTGGTCGCCCTGTCCCGACTGCCCCAAATGCTCACGAGCTTGATGATTTACTGTTAAGTCTTAAACATTTTTAAATTTTGCGTGTCTTCAAATCCATCTGTCTTTTCAGATTCAGCTTTACTGTTTTAAGTTTAGGAACTTGAATTCCCTTCAGAGCTTTAGTAAGTATTCATTTTTGTATTCTTTACCTATTTCTGTTTTGACATTTCTATAATTGGTATAAAGCTTGGATGTCACCTTGTAAGATGCTTCTTTATTTTGGTGAATGATTTGTGGTGGGAATTTAAATAGGATTTGCACTCTGTGTCACTGGTTGTGACATATTTATCCCAAGTCTTACCTTCCCCAGGTTTTGTGAATTGTTTTAAGTGGGAGAGCTGGTTTCTGGCCTTCGTTCTCTCTCCTTGCTCACCTTTGATGTTCTGAGAACGTATCCGAAGGAAGTAACCCGAAATGCGCCCTCGCGTGTCTGTCTGTCATGTGCGTTCTGTTTTTGTGCCAGTTCCACACACGTCTCCTCATGGCACTCGTGCACAAGACTCAGGAGCAGAAACGTTTTTGAAGGCAGCGGGCAGGCGTGCCTGGGCCCGAGCCACCCACTGTGTGGGGCTGCTGCTCGGGGGTGAGGCCGTGCTGCGCCAGGGGCTGCCCAGGATGGCCGTTCCTCCCGACTTCCTGCCTTGATGTGTGCTGTAGCCTCCCTGTGATCTTGGGACTCTGCCTTCAGAGCCAAAAGCCCTTTTCCTGCTGCTTAACTAGGCACTGATTTTTGTGTTTCCCCAGGCTTTACTGGCACACCCCACGTCCTGTAGCTTCTTCCATCTAGTTCAGCCAGGGGCCCGGGTGTCTGTCCATGCGTTTATGTATTTTTGCATTATAATGTTGGTAACTTCTGGTTTCTGATGTTTTTATCCCTGATTCTGTGAGATAGATAGGTCCTGATGCCCCGAGGATGACAGGGCCGGCCCTCTTGCTTGTTCTGGGGGCAGGGTGGGAGGAACGCCAAGACATGGGGAGCTAGGTGCGTCAGAATTGACTTGAGAATTTCCAGGGGTGGATATTTCTGTCCCTTTGATCCTGCCTCAGTGGGGAGCAGACAGCCAGAGGGGGCTGTAGGCGACATTGTGTCCCCAGTGGGTCATCTTCTTCACAGACATTGAGATTCTAGCTAGGTCTGACTTGGGAATGTTCTAGGGTCCCACCTCAGAACTGGCTTCCTCCTGCTTCGCCCTGTCCTCAGGGCTGACGCCCAACGCGTGTCTTCCACTCCCCCAGCCCTTGCATCGTCCTCGGCACAAAGCAGTGTTTGGGCTAGGAGCCTCGTGGAAGCTATGGTACCCGCTCAGGGAGTTTGCAGACCTCGGACGGAGACTCTCGGAGAGCGCGAGCCTGAGTCCTGGCCGTGTGCCTTCTCTCTCTCTGAGGTGTGGGTGCCTTCCTGTTTGGTCCTGGCTCCTACTGTGGGTTTAGGTGAGGCTTTGGTGCCCAGGCCGGGCCCTCTCCCTCGGGAGCTTAGGGTCTGACACGCACTGGTTTCTCTGTGTGTTTGCAGTTGATGTAGCCCTGGGCTTGGTGAGGTGTTCTGCTCTGGTGTGGGGCGACGGCAGCCCGCAGCCTGGGCCTGCGTTCGGCGGCAGCCACTGACTGCCTCCTGGGCGGCGAGCAGGGTGCTGTCCCCTCCCCGGAGCAGACAGGCAGACAGCCCCACCGCACATGGGAGTGGAGAGGGGCCACTAGGCTGGGGGAAGGCTTCTGGGGAGAAACATGCCCGTCACGAGTGCCAGTGCTGAGTTCAGGTCGTGCTTGGCCTTGAGCTAGCAATGCTGGTTACCTTCCACGGTAGCTGGCTGGGATGACCCACCTGTGGGTCCCAGCGGTGACCTGTCCCTCATCGGTGTCGAGGGGCATCATCTGCAGCGCTCTCTTCCATGGCTCGATGAGAGTTCACAGGACTCGCTGGCGTCAGGTGCCAGCCGGCACGGACCTTCACGCTCTCCCCAGTGCTGCTGAATGGCCCTGTCGCCGCGCGCTGGTCGGATGCTTCCGTTTGTCTTCCAGTAACTCGATTTTAACTTTGATCTTTCAGGAGAACATTAAGTTGGATTAGAAGGAGGGCGATAATGCACCACGGCGGCGGCCCGCAGAGCGCCCAGCACCAGCTGCAGCGGCCCAGGGCCTTGGCCCCCAGCGAGGGCGAGGAACAGCAGGCCCGCCCGAACCCGCCCCAGTCCCCGGCCGCACCCTTCGCGCCTTCCGCCAGCCCGTCCGCACCGCAGTCTCCCGGGTTCCAGGTTCAGCAGCGCATGAATAGGAGCCCCGTGGCGGGACAGAACGTGAACATCGCCCTGCAGAGTGTCGGCCCGGTGGTGGGAGGAAACCCGCAGATCACGCTCGCTCCTCTTCCGCTCCCCAGCCCGGCTTCTCCAGGCTTCCAGTTTGGCGCCCAGCAGAGGCGCTTTGAGCATGGGTCTCCGTCGTACATCCAGGTCACCTCGCCACTGTCCCAGCAGGTGCAGACTCAGAGTCCCACCCAGCCCAGTGCCGGGCCGGGGCCGGGCCTGCAGAGCGTGCGGGCTGGCACCCCTGGCCCTGGCCTGGGCCTCTGCAGCAGCAGCCCCACCGGGGGCTTTGTGGATGCCAGCGTGTTAGTGAGGCAGATGAGCTTGAGCCCATCTAGTAGTGGGCACTTTGTGTTTCAGGAGAGCCCCGGCCTCGCCCAGATGGCCCCGGGCACCCAGGTGCAGCTGCAGCACGCGGGGGCTCCCATCGCGGTCCGGGAGCGGAGACTGTCGCAGCCCCACGCGCAGTCTGGGGGCACCGTCCACCACCTGGGGCCCCAGAGCCCCGCGGCCGCGGGTGCGGCTGGCCTGCAGCCCCTGGCCAGCCCCGGCCACATCGCCACAGCAAGCTTGCCGCCCCAGATCAGCAGTATCATCCAGGGCCAGCTGGTCCAGCAGCAGCAGGTGCTGCAGGGGCCGCCGCTGACCAGACCCCTGCTCCCGGGAGTCGGGCTTGGGGGGGCTTCGGCCTTCGGGATGACCTCCCCGCCGCCCCCCACCAGCCCCTCCAGGACTGCAGTGCCCCCGGGCCTCTCCAGCCTTCCTCTCACATCTGCGGGGAGTGCAGGCGTGAGGAAGGCCCCCAAGAAGTTGGAGGAGATCCCCCCGGCCTCTCAGGAGCTGGCGCAGATGAGGAAGCAGTGCTTGGACTACCACTACCGCGAAATGGAGGCGCTGAAGGAGGCCTTCAAGGAGTACCTGATCGAATTGTTCTTCTTGCAACACCTTCAAGGGAACATGATGGACTTCTTGGCTTTCAAGAAGAAGCATTATGCCCCGTTGCAAGCTTATCTTAGGCAGAATGATTTGGACCTGGAGGAGGAGGAGGAGGAGGATGAGGAGGAGGAGGAGGAGGAGGAAGAAAAGTCTGAGGTTATCAACGATGAGGTGAGAAACAGCCGTTTCATAACGAGAGGACCATGCTGTGCAGATTTGATTCTAGGCAACTGTAAATGAGACCTAACCTACGAGGCTGGGGTGTTTCTGGGACGTGGTTTCATAAGGTTTTGATCCAGGAGTGAAATTGAAGTCGTGTTTTGCTCTTTTCCGGCATGGAGGGGAGGAGCTGCTCTGGATGTTGGGAGGAAGATGCAGGATGCTGTGTGAGCAGTGCTGGGCTAGGCCCAAGCATCCAGAGCAAGGTCGTCCAGTGTCCTGAGGCTGGCCCGGTGCGACCCGGCCCTGCCCCGTGGTCAGCTGGGCGGGGGGTCTCGTCTAGCACTGAGGCTGGAGGTGCGGACCCCTTCTGGCTGCTCGTGTGGACTTTGCATTTCACTGCCACTGGTTCTTGTCAAAAACACCGCAGATGTGGTTTTTAAGCAGGCATTTCAGTCACTACCTTTTTACCGTGTACCGGTCATGATTCCACATCATGAGGTACGTCTGTGTGGTGTTTTCATGAGGAAGATACAGTTGTTGTGGCAAAACCTCTGAGAATTTTTCAATTTTTAGATGTAGTCTCTGGTTTGAGGTATTTTAAACTCACATGTGTGCAAATACCTACTGAGTGATATTTGACATAGGATCTTTTTTAGGTAGTGAAATTTTGGGGTGTCTGGAATGGGTGCTTTATACACCCCCGGGTGGGATTTTTCAGTACCATAGGGATTCCCGAGGTCCTTCCACTTGTATTTCCTGAAAAAGGAGCGAGTCAAACCAGGGCAATAGTGAGGGACGCTGTAGCGCACTGTATTTTGTGCCTTTGTGTTGTGTAGTGTACAGTATGTTGGTGCAGCTCATTTTGTTTTACAACACAACTAAAGTAATTTGACTCTGTCAGCTCTTCTCCTGCAAAGAAATCAGCCTTTGCTGAGCAAAAGCTGGTCTCTTTGCTCTGCCGTCCTCATTGAGATTTATGGACATATCTGTGTGGCTTTGCCATTTTGTGTTTTCTTTAACACCCTTTCCAGAAAGGATCATTTTTATTTTCCAAAAGGTTTATATTATTTTGAGGGTTACACCTCTGTTGCCACGAAATAGTGAAATTCAGTTCTCTCTCTGTTTGTACACACTGTTGTCTGGAGGCTCAGTCCCCCTCCTCTGTGCTAACGAGGAGACCTGACTCCCCTTTTTTGCACCTTCCTGCTCAGAGAGACCCACACACGGCGGGCAGTGGGGTGGCTGCCACGCCGATGGCGTGTGCAGGCGTGAGAGCCTTGCTGCTCAGAGGCTGCCTGCCGTTGTCTTGATTGTAGTTGGAAGTCGCAGAACCTGAGCTCAAGTTGGAGTTCCCACATGATGCGCCCTGGAGTGAGGTCATTAGGTTGTAACTCCACCGTAAGTCAGTTCGGTGTCCTTTTACAGGATTTCATGCAAAAGCGTTCCATTTTTATACACCAGACATCACTGAGCTATCAGCAGTAAAATTCTGACAAAATTTTGAGCAGTCTTAAAAATTATGTTGCCTTTTTTTCTCAAAATATTTTCTCTCAGGTAAAGGTTGTGACAGGAAAGGATGGGCAGACTGGTACTCCCGTTGCTATAGCAACCCAGCTTCCGCCAAATGTTTCTGCTGCTTTTTCATCCCAGCAGCAACCGCTTCAGGTACTTTTCGATGGTTCTCAAATGTAGCCTCATCCCAAGCTTTCCTTCATCCAGATATTTTAACCTTCAATTTTACTATTTGCTCTCCAGCATTTTTTTTCCAGAGCCCATTCCTTATTTTTAAAAAATTTAAAAGACTTCCTGCATATGAAATGATAAAGTTAAGTTGCATGAGTAAATGACAACACGGATCTTAATGCATTCTTATTTTTTCTGTGTTGAGTGTGACGCGGTAGTAGCCTTCGCATGCATGTCACCTAATACAGTCCTGTTGAATGTGTGCTCAGGGTTCCTTGTGTGCTGTGTTTTAAATGTTGGTTCTTTCCTGTGTCTTCTATCTGTATCTTTAAGAACAGTGCAAAACAGAATAAGAAAAAAAAGATTTAAGCAGCTGGTAACTTGATATTTTCTGCAGCTGGAAGAAACGCTGAAGTCAGGACCATAGGCTCCCCCAGGTGTCCACTGAGTGCAGACTGAGTAACATTAATTGTTTGGAAACAGAATTGTTCAGTGTTACGTCAGTGATGCCAAGAACCTGGAAGGACAGGTCACGTTCTCTCAGGAGGGAACGGATGGTTCTTGCTTCGGAGACTAGTTTCATCTTGTGGAGATACCTTTTTTTTTTTCAATGTTTTTATTTTTAATTTTGCTGTAATTTCTAACACATGTGAAAATTGCAAAAACAGTCTTCCAAAGAACTCCTTTGTGCCCTTTACGTGGGTTCACCGGATGTGCCCTTTTTGCCCGCTTCTGTTGTTTTCACTCTGGCGTATGTGTAGACACACACGTCTCCACCGAATCGGCGACAGGCCGTTGCAGATCCCACGTCATGCGCTTGTAAGTCTGATGCCCTGTGTGCCTTAGGTGAGAATGTTCTCTTACCTGACACGGTCCGGGTCATGCCAGGACCACGACTAAGCCAAAGCTCATACGTGGTTTTTGTGTCTTGATCTGATGGTGTCCTTGACAGAGTGGACCCTTACACAGGGCAGGGGCACCGTCCCCGCGCAGCGCAATGCCACGTACAACTCTTGACTCCCCCAAAACTGAACAGCTGTTAGCCTGCTGTTGACTGGAAGCTTTAGATAACGTAGTTGATTAGTGTGTATTTTGTCTGTTAATTTGTTTTATATATTGTATTCAGCTTGTAAAGTAAGCTGGAGAGAAGGAAATCACAAGGAAGGAGAGAAAATACATTTACTGTTCTGTAGGGGAAAAAATCTGCGTGTAAGTGAACCTGTGCAGTTCAAACCCGGCTTGTTCAAGGTTCGGCCGTGGTGGTTTTACCCTAGGCTGGGATCGCCTGTTGGGCGTTGGGTGTAGTTGTCATGCCTCCTCGGTTGTTGTCGTCTTCGTCTTCTTTTTTTTTTAAGATTTTATTTATTTATGTGACAGGCAGGGATTGCAAGTAGGCAGAGGCAGGCAGGGAGAGAGAGGAGGAAGCAGGCTCTCCGAGGAGCAGAGAGCCCGATGCGGGGCTTGATCCCAGAACCCTGGGATCATGACCTGAGCCGAAAGCAGAGGCTTTAACCCGCTGAGCCACCCAGGCGCCCCCTCCTTGGTCTTCTTTAACCTGGCCTGGCTCCTCAGTCTTTCATGACCTTTACGTTTTTGAGTTGAGGCTACTTGTTTGGTAGAATGCCCTTTGATACTGGATTGCCTTCTGTTCCCTTGTGTCTGACTTGGGCCATGTATCTTTGAGAGGAATTCCCAGAAGTGACGCTGTGTGCGGCTCATGCTCCTGTATTAGGAGGCCGTGAGGTTGGCGGTCTTGGGACTGGTGACGCGCACTCTGACCGCTCGGTGAGACTGGTGTCTGTCAGGCTTTTGCAATGGAAGGTTCTTAGTTTTTCTTTGGTAAATGATAAATAATCTGGGGAAGATACTTTGAGACTCGGTTAAATATCCTGTATCTCGTTAAACTTTCGGCCACTAATTCCGCCATCTGGCCAGAATCCGTTTTCACCTTCAGGATTGCAGAATGGATTTTCTAGCTCCGTTGTCCCTAATGCATCTATCAGTCGGCATTCTGCCGTGAACGGTGTGCTTTCCTTTTTCTTCCATTTACATATTCATATGTGGATTTTTATTTCAGTCATTGGGTTATGTCACTAATAGTATTTATTTATTTAGACTTACTGAATTCGGTAAAACTCACTCTTTTTTTGTTTGTGGTTCTGTTGAGTTGTGCCAAACCCACAGAGTTGTGTAGCCACCATGGTGGTCCAGAAACAGAGCTCCATTACCCTCCCAGAATCTGTGCCCCCTGCCTCTGTGATTCTGCCTTTTCCAGAATGAACGAAACCTGGATGGAGTCATACTGCCCGTGGCTTCTGTCGCTGAGCGGCCACGCTGTGCTGTTTACCAGTCGTCTGTGTCTGGGGGCAGGGGTGTCCCCGCTTTGTCTCTTCACTCACCCATTGAAGGGCAGGTGGATTGTTTACTTAGGAGTAAAGCTGCCTCGGTGTTCACAGACAGTTTGGTGTGTGTGAACCTCGGCCTTTGTTTCGTTCGGGTTCAGACCTCGGCGGCAGATTGCAGTCTCGTATAGGCTCGAGTTTTCTTTTCTTTTCTTATTTATCTATCTATTTGACACAGATCACAAGCAGGCAGAGAGGCAGGCAAAGAGGTGAAGGGAAGCAGGCTCCCCGCTGAGCAGAGAGCCCCATGCAGGGCTTGATCCCAGGACCCTGGGATCGTGACCAGGGCTCAAGGCAGAGGCTTAACCCACGGAGCCACCCAGGTGTACCCGAGTTTTCTAAAAAACTGGCAAAGGCGCCCTGGCTGTGCCCTTCTGCGCTCTGCTGCCCCCAGTGGTGGGGAGGCCCCGGTGCGTCCTGCCTGCTCCTCTCCGGTCGTGGCCACACGCCTGCACGGTTGTTGTCTGTGAGTCGTCTTGGGGAATGTCAGACTCCTGCGTGTCGCTGTTCGATTTGAGAATTCTTTGTATGATGTGAATGCAGGTTCCCTGTCAGATACAGATTTGAAGATGCTTTCCTGCCATTCTGAAGCTTATCTTTCTCTCTGTTACACTGTTCTCCAGAGCAGAAGTTTTAGGTTTTGATGCGGTCTGTTTTATCATTTTGTTGGTTTTATAGATTGTGCTTCTGGCATCCTAAGAGCTCTTGGCTCAGCCCGAGGTCACAGAAACCTGTATTTTCTCCTGGAAGTTGTATGGTTCTGAGTGTCACACTTATGTCCACGATCCCCTTTGAGGCAGGTTCTGTATGACGTGGCAGACATGAACGTGAAGTTCGCCCTTCTGCTTGTCGATTTCCACTTGTTCCAGCAACGTGTCTTGAAAAGGCCACTCTGTTTCCGCACAGTGACCTTGCCTCGCTGCT